AGAACTTCTTTGAGGATCATTGTAGGTCCAGCAATATGAGGGTGACTGAAATATAGTAGAGGCTCCTTTTGTTTGTAGCATTTCCAGCCATTTTCCCTGCCATAATAAATTTAATCTTAAAGATGAATCGACTTAATTAGATTGAAAAGGAAGAAAACAGAGTTTAATGCTTTGTTGTGCGAGTAGGGAAATATGTAGATGCCAACTAGCTTAGCTGGTTAATTATCGAGGGGGAAGGGATCAAACCTCGACTCTGCCACAAACCTTTGTGGTTGAAGATGATCTTGGTAATTAAATAAGCATTTAGTTGGTGGATATACCTGTTGTGTCTAGGTGACATGCTGCGAAAAATGACCCGAGTTTTGTGAGGATCTAAATTTAAATCAACCCATTTAGCCCATGTTGTGAGTCCTTTCTCATAGGCAACCATTGGATTCAAATTGCTTATAATTCTGTTTCCTTCCATGAAATAATCCCACCTACAAACAGTTTCAAATTAGAGTATGATCTAAGCAAAAAAAAACAATCATGCAGAACTGAACAAAAGCAAACAAAGCGGAATGTCCTACGCTCTAGACTTGATTGAGTGTGTCCACCAGTGTGCTGAATCGAACACAAGCACATCGACTCCTCTCCAATACTTTGCATTCTCTTCAATCATATCAAGATGCAAAACTCGCTTATGCTGAGGACTTCTTTTTAGTTCTACTAGTAGAGGTGCCCAAGAAAACTCAATCGACATCTCAAAGTCCTGAAATTAATCATTCAATTCAAATAATGAACCAAACAATGTAGCTTGAAACGCGAGTTATCTAGACATGGAGCATTTACCAGGGCATGGAAGGCCATTGTAGGACCATTGTATGTCACCCGTTTTCGGCCAGTTGGAATGACTCCTTGGACAAGGCAAACAAGAGACTCCCATTGGTTTCTCATTATTGAATCCCCAACTAACATTAATCTTTTTCTCCTCATCTTTCCCAGGAAATGAAGTGCATCAAATCTTGAATGATCAAGTAAGAAGTGGCATCATAATTTTACAGCAAGAAATTGTATCATTGTACTAAAAAAACTTATAAATTATGACTAGTTGACACTAGCATTACACTGCTTTACCACATAAATTTGGGTACAAACTCTAATATAGAATCAACCTTTTGGCCTTTTGGGTTGAACTAATGTTATTTTTCCTAGAAGATTTTCACATTATTTTACTTACCTGGGAAATTTTGTCAAATTACTGTACAGTGTTACAGTGTATGCTTCATCAAACATGGAGCTATTTTAAGGGAATAAACAAATAGAAAAACAAGCAAAATAGCAAACAGAATATGTTGTTACCTAGGAATAGAACACTTAAAAGGTTGCCATCTCCATTTTTGATAATCCGAATCCGGGCGTCCATTCTTAAGGCAAGTTACAGCAGTGCTGAGATACGGGCAGCTTGAATCATAGAGAGGGTACGATTCATCAAACACCCATTTCCCCAATGTGAAGTCACACGATGACTTGGCTCCTGCCGCAGCTCGGTTTCGGGTTTGGGCCATGTTAAGCTCGCTAGCACTATCATCCTCATTAAGCCATGCCTCTTCTTGAACATCATCATAATGATCTAAAAATGACGTTGCATGAAAAATGCTAAGGGAAATTATGATCATAAAACATAACAAATATTTTGGTGTTCCCTTCATTCTCATTTTAATTATGTTTTTTTGTGTGGATTAGTGAACTAGCTTTGTGCTTGTTTTTATGCAAGTATAAAAGTAATAAAACACATTGTTAAGAAGAGATCATGATATTAATTAAGGTTGTCTTTTATTTTATTTTTTATTTTTTGTAAATTTTTTAACTTTTTTGGGGTGTAGAAGCCTAGAAGGTAGTCTCTTGTCTCGCCTTTCATTGCGGTGGAATTGGATTGCAAATTTATTGCAACTTGTGTTCTTCATTACATATTATGGTCACTTTATTTGGTGGGAGAGGTAGTGGTAGAGCTGTCAAAAGCTGATCTGACCCGAAATATTAACCCTAACCCGACTCTAACCCTAACCCGTCTGAATCCAAAAAAATGGTGACCCAAACCCGACCTGAAACCAACCCTAGACCCGAGTTGACCCAAGTACTTGAGACCCGAACCCGACCATAACCCGACCTAGAGAGGACCCGACCCGAATGTGACCCGTAAATTATTGACCTGAATCAAACCCGACTCGAACCCGAGAATGACCCAAATCCGATTTAACCCGTCAAAACCTGAATTCAACCAGACCCGAGGTCAACCCGACCTGTTCCTAACCCGACTCGAATTTAAACCCTACCTGTTACAAACCCGACCCGAAATCAACCCGACTTGTTATTGATCCGACCCAAATTCAACCCGACTTGTTATTGCCCTGACCCGAATTTAAACTCGACCTATTACTAACCCGAATTTAAACGTATTTGAGGCTATATGAGGTGAGTGAGGTGAATCGGTGATAGTGATTTTGTCTAATTAAATCAGCCAAATTGTTTTTTTTTTTTCTAAATTTAAATTATCTTCAAATTAAACTTCCATATAACTACTTATAATCCTTTTATTGATAATTTTTTTTTAAAATTTTAGTACTCACTTGTTTATTTTAATATTTTTTAAAATGTTTTAAATTATACAATTTGATTTGGAGCTTTAAAAAAAAAAATTTAAACATTTTATTGACTTGAACCGAACCCAACTCGAACATGAGAATGACCCGACTTAATTATAACCCGCAAATTATTGACTTGAACCGAACCCGACTCGAACCCGATAATGACCCGACCTAATTATAATTCGCAAATAATTGACTTGAATCGAACCCGACTCGAACCCGAATAGGACCCTAACTTGTTTAAACCCGTAAAAACCCGACCTGTTTTTCACCCGACCCGAATGTAACCCGACCTTTTATTGACCCGACCTAAACCTGACCCAAACCCGATAAGATGTATAACCCAACGTGACCCTACTCAAGCATGACCCAACCCGAATCCGACCCACATAAGTCCCGACATTCACTCGTACTGACCCGATCCGAGATGACCTGACCCACACTAACCCGACTCAAATCCGACCCATTTACCCGAATTTACAGCTCTAGGTAGTGGTAGGATTATGGTAATCGCTTAGAAAAATATTAGGGTGATGTTAATTATCCTCATTTCAAGGATAGTTAGTCTAATCAATAGTGTGGAAAGAAAAAGTAATAATATGATGATGATGATAGTTGTCTAGTGACTCAAATGCTTATACGTAGTATATATATTTGAAATAACTCAAATGCTTCTAAACATATGGTAAATTCCGTTCAAAATAAAAAAAAAAAAAAAAAAAAAAAATTAATATGCATGATAAAATAATAATAATAAAGATCTCCATTCACATATAAATGTATATATTTTGATGTTATACAATTGTTGAATATAAAATAAGTTATAAAATAAGTTAATTACTTATTCTTTCTAATATAACGCGACCATAGAATATAGTTGAGAACATAATGTGTTGAAATTAAACTTTATAAAATATATATTATCTATGTTTCTCATTAGTTGCAACAAATGAGCAATATAAGACATAAAGAATTGATTGTAGTTCAAAAAAAAAAAAAAAACTTTGATGATTAATCTTGTGGCCCATTGTGTTACATTTTCCTTTAGATACATCAAATTATTATAGTTTGGTTTGATAAAATAAAGTTGCATGGTTAACAAGAGGTTGGTCCTTGTGGTTATGAGTATTCAATAACAGGGCAATATTATACACATAATAATTTAACATGTTGTATACCACTCCAAGAATTTAAAGTCTATTAATATTGGCAGAACTTGATTTGATTTAATACAAGTCCGAGCTACCTATCTTTAAAAAAATAATAAATAAAAATAAAAAGTTAGCTAGGTGGCATTTAAGTTTAACATGAGATTATGAGATTGAAACAAACCGAAATTTGTTTCCCGCAACTGAAGGATTGAGTGGGACTGTGGGACAATGCTGAATTTGTAAATTTACAATGTCAAAAAGCAAATGAGTCAAAATGATAACAGGCATGTTATTGCTGCTTCAAGGCTGTATCTAGTCCTCACCTTTAGGCCCCTTATGGATATAATTGCCTTCACAAATTTACTACAATTCACATAAACTCTCTACACAAACGGCTTTTAGGACAAAGCAATATTTTCAACCTGTGGACGTCATATAACATAATTAGCTAAAGTCTTAAGGGTAATATCATAAATTTAAAATCAAATCTTGTCTAAATCATTTTCCTTTCCACATCATTAAACTAAATAGCGTTTTCAATCTGTTTCATCTGCATTCATACTTAATAACCATCATGTATCTTTCTGTGTGCGTAACAACACAAAAATATAGCTTCAGGGTAGTGCACATTCATAATATTAAGCAAATCATTTTTCAATTTGCTTCTACTTATACTCCCATTATACTCGTAAGAAACTTAAAGGGGGTTGTTTCCTTTGGTGACTCAACACCCTGATGATGCAGGAAACTTCAGACATTCTCTTAAAGGAAGAATACTGCAAATGTTTGGTCAATGCTTCACACAAAACCTCATTGCTTTGTACATCACTTACGCAATTTGGTTTAATTCACAAAACCACATCGCTTTGTACAGTGACAGAGTTCAGGAAAGCTACAATGAAGCTGAGATATGCTGCAGGCCTGCAGCAGTGGTGAAGCACGTCGTCGCTTGATTTTTTGTTGAATATACAAGCAACTCCTTCAGAGCAACTACTGTTGCTGCTCTAAGAACAAACGAATTAACTTTTGAGTCCTTCAGAGCATGTAGCCTTCTTCAAGACAGATTTTAAAAAAAAGTGATGAACTTATATGATGTCTGATTTACATTTGAGCCCCTAACTTCAACCACAGGAACCTACAAACATTAAAAAAAAGAACGTTTTCTCTTGACAAACACATACAAAGAAACATACAAATTAACATGAGAATTTGGATTAGGATCTCTCTCAAAATATTCCATAATCTTTACCCCTGGGAAATTAAATCATCTCCTTACATAACAAGCAACAAAACTTGGGTATTAACAACAAAAGATATTCCTCCATAACATTACTGCAAAGCATTGGAACTTGACCTTAGATTCAAAGTTAGGAGTGACAGGGTCACTCTTTCCCTCAAACAGACCGTATCCAACAACATTCACCTGGGCTAGAGATCGAAGCAACTAACGCAGCTAAAAATAAAACATTACAAATAAGATAACCCTGTCATCCTAAATATTGTATGCTTAATCTTAAATGATTCTTGTATTTTTTTAAAAAAGTAGTATAAATATTCAAATGTACAATTGATAGCAAACAGAAAGTTTTTTTCGGAAGGCATTTTTAATTTTTTTTTTTTTGGATAAAATTGCTACACTATAAGAATTACATCAAGCAGGTGCAATAGAAACTCGATCAACCTCAACAATATACTCAAGGGCAGCACAGGGAGGAATAGAGACATCGGAACCAAAATCAGCACCATTGTCACAATAACCCAGTTTAGGAGGGACAATGACTCTTCTTTTACCTCCGCCCTTCATTGTCTTTAACACATACTCTATCCCTTCACACATTCCTCTAGTGTATGGCCTTGACCCCATTACAAGAGCAAGTGATCTGTTATTCTTACCAAATGTATCAACAAACACTTCACCACTATCTTTGACGCTACCTTTTAAGTCTATTACTACCAAGTCCCCTGTTCTTGGAGTAGCACCACCACCAATTCTCATGTTATAGTACCTAAATCAATGCGATGAACATGCAAATCAAGTAGATATTCTAGAACTAATACATTTAAATGTTTTAGAACTAATACATGCAAATTAAAAAGTACATGTACAGCAACAAGACAAGCAAAATATTCTAGAATTTATACATGCAAATCAAGTAGATATTCTAGAACTAATACATTTAAATATTTTAGAACTAATACATGCAAATTAAAAAGTACATGTACAGCAACAAGACAAGCAAAATATTCTAGAATTTATACATGCAAATCAAGTAGATCTTCTAGAACTAATGTACATGCCAATCAACAAATACATGCACTGCAAGAACACCTTACATTTTTACAGAAATAAATTAAAGAATTAATTAAATAAAAACTCAAGAACAGAAAACAAATGTGAGAATTGTCCTTGTATTTTTTAATTACTAAAAACAAAATATCTCCCTCAATAGTTTTATTTATTGTACTCACATCCTATTCATTTTATAAAAAAAATAAATAAATAAATAAATAAATGATTGTAATTTGTGATTTGTATTCAACAAAGAAAATATGTTGTATCATTTCAATGTGTATTTTTATATTATCAATTTTTATAAATATAATTTTCACTACTACACCATTAATGATATAAAATGGCATAGGCATGCATTGGAGATCAAGCAAAATGCACATAAGCACCAACAACAAGAAAAATAAAACGCAAAAATAGTACAATTTTTGTTAAAAGACCATCTCTAAATTGATAATTAAGGCCAAAGATTAGGTTTTAATATCAACCACGCCCCTCACATAAATGTCTGTTAGACTTGAAATATCAATGCAATTTGAGTTTTTCTATACCACAATGTTAAGAAGGGGTATATGACATTTGGAGCCACAACATATATGTTTTTCACCAATGCATGGTTCGTGCAGGCGAATGCACGATCCACATGGTGCATCTCTTCCAAAAAAAAATCGGAAAGAACATTGCTTAGAAATATAAAGAACATTTAGTTTAAGTGAAAAGAACATATTATAGAATTGTAAAGAACATTGTATAGAAATGTAAAGAACATTCAGTTAAAGTGCAAAGAACATGTTATAAAATTGTAATGAACATAATGTGCAATTAAATAATGTTCTTTATTTTCATGTTCTTTGATTGTCAGAATAATGTACTTTTATTTGTGACATATGTTAATTGTTTATTTTGAAATATTCTTTTAATTTTGTCTTTAGATTATGGTTGTTGAATAAAAATAATGTTCATTACAATATATTATCATTAGAGATGATAAAAAGTTCGGGTCGGGTTGGGTCTTAACATAATATCTCGTGTCAAACCGAAAAAATGTAGTGGGCTTTTCGGATTTTTTTTCGGGCCGAGTTTGGATTTTTTTTAACTAAAAATTCACTTTTAGGCTTGTCTAAACCCGCCCTATTTTCGGGCCGGGCCAAGTCGGGTCGGGCCAAAGTTGATCACCTCTAATTATCATGTTTTTAATTAATATTACGGATGTTCTTTAGATATATATATAAAGAACATGAAGTTGGATGTTTTTTTTTTACAAAATAGGTATATATTCTTTATAAAACAACTATATGTTCATTACAATACAGCTATATATGATGTTCTTTATGAAATAACTATATGTTCTTTATAAAACAAATGTATGTTATTTACTGAACAACGGAATATTCATTCCGCGTTTTTAAAGAGAAAACGGATGCACGGAGCATCGTGCATCCGCCTCCATAGAAAAAATTTCAGTTTTTGACTGAGTTGGTATTTTAACTATTTGTTAATGAATATACAAAAATTGCAAATATTGAAAATGTTCGTAAAAGTTAGAAGAATGAAGAACTTACATTAACTAAGCAATAATAAAGTAGAAAATATACCTTATGCCATTTGGTAATATAACCTCTTCTTCCTTCTCCAAATCCCTATATATGAGAAAGAAAAAGGTTAGATGTATTTATTATCATATACTTAATTAAACGTAGTGACATAATAAAGCATAAAATGTACATAGGTTAACTATTGGTAACACTCTACTTCATCGCACCATATATACCATTATTAATTCTAACTGCATCTTATGCCATACCCATATCCATACGGCCATACCCTATTATTCACCCAAGTCCTCTTAACTTTTTTTTTTGACAGCCAGGAAAAGGGAATTACCCCCTACAAACATAAGTAATAGAAATACAATGAAAAACAAGCATAAGCTCATTGATCTCCTTTGTAAACATTCTGCAACCTTGCCAGCCTGTGTTGATCCCTTGAATCCAGCTGAGCGTTCTTGTGTCCTCTTAACTTTAGGACAAGTATTTGCTAGCTAGTTTTTTTTTTTTTTTTTTTTTTTTTTTTTTTGGGGGTGGGGGGGGGGGGAATTTGCTAGCTAATTGATTCATATGCTACAAGCCTATTCTCAAAGGATAAAAAAAACATAATAAAAAAAATAGGAGATGAATAAAATTAAAGTCCCAAGCCCTATAACACTTTATTCCACTATTCATATACACCGGTTTGAGTTCTGTTGGTGATTCATGAACTCCCTCCTTTTTAAAATACTTTCTTCACTTTCCACTTCAGGTCCTTTTTAAATACTTGCTTCATTACCTTACTTAGAAAGTTTGTACAATATTTAATTTATTTTTTAAAATTAGTGGACCTAATATAAATCATATTCTATTAATTTCATATTCACTCTCCTCCAACTCTCTCAACTAATATTTTTTTATTTATTTTTTTATTTTTTTTTTACAATTTTCTATTCTTCAACCTATCCCACTACTTCCTTATTTTATTACTTTATTCAATTTCTCCTAAAACTCCGCACATGGAGAAATAGAGCAAGTATTTATAAAAGGATGAAAATAATTTTCAATAACCATTATAGATTTATAATTAGTTTTTTTATAAACAAAAAAAAATTATGACAATGTTGATCAAAATAAAGGATTATGAAAAATATATTAGATATAAAATAATTAAAATTATATTAAGAATTTTATTTATAACTATATACATTTGTGTTAAAGATATGCCAATTTTTTTTTTCACTTTCAGTAATTATATTTATATTTAAAAGATTAGATAATTATTTTATATAAGATTCCTTTTTTTTTATTTCTTTAATAGAATATTATTCCCAAAAAAAAAAAAAAAAACTAGGACAAACAAGAAATGACATGTGTTATTGCTTTTAGTATATAGTTATTGATGAAACATAATCACGATAGTACTTGTGAGAATTGTTAACACATACTTGTCCAACATTAACATCTTAGAAGTTATACTTAGATCATGTTTTTTCACTTTATTTTTGCTAAAGTGAAATTATGTAAGACTAAACTTATTTTTAATGCACTAAAATTATTTTACTACATTTTCTATTATATTTGTTCTTTTAAATTACTTATATTTACTATATTTGTTCTTTTAAATTACTTATATTTACGGATCAAAATTTATTTTTATTTCAAATAAAATTATTTTTATACACAATCATTCTAGTTAAATTTATGCATTTATGCTAAAGATAGCCATCACGACTTATCATGTACTCATACTCTCATAGCTAATGTGTCATGCCAATTTGTTGTTGGTGTACATGTGATTGAGACTACACTTGGTAGGGAGGACCCATGTTCGATCCCACGCAACAATAATTGGGAGGGAACTAGAACTTAACCATACAGAATTGATCCCGAATCCGGATTAGTTCAAAGGGTGAATTGGGTGAAACAAAAAAAAAAGAAAAAAAAAAAAAAAAAAAAAAAAAAAGCTAATGTGACGTATAATCGATTAAAAATTTAATTCGTAAATGATAAACATGATTCAAAATTCAATTCGTAAATGCTAAGCACGAAGTAGTGATATAAAGGAGATACCTACACTATTTTTGCATAGTTTTTGGCTTTGAATACTTTACTCATTAATTCACCAAGCATCAATATCAAATAAAAATACTCCCTATTATCTGATCAAATGCACGTATGCCTATTAATTCTAGTCAATTCGTCAGATTCGGGTAAGATTTTGGGTCATTATAAAATATAATTAGTGGGTCAAATCAGGTTGATTTTGGGTCGGGACAAATCAGGTTCTTGCTTTCTCTCAAATAACTCAGAGTTTGGAATGGGGTCGGGTTAGGAGTTGACCGGTCTTTTTTACTGAGCAAAAGAGGGAGCTCTTACATAGTTACAGAGTAGTTACAGACATGCCTCAAAGTATGAGCGAAATATGAGGATTAAATGCACGAATTAACAGGTCTAAATGCACACAATGTATACTTCAATTCAAATTCTTAAAGAACAAATAAAAAAAATTTAGATTGTTTTTAGGAATTTAATTAAGTGGTCATCAATCTCGCATTTTCACCAAGAAGTAGCTAATGTATCATAAAGATGAACTTGTAAGTGTAATTGAAAATAGCAAAAGAAAATGAAAATCATAACTTGCCTAGTGTTAGCTTGCTCCTGAGAAACTTCAAAACGAGTCTTAACTTGCTCAGAAATAACCCCAACAGCAAGAAAACCAACCCAAGCAAGACCTGCGCCGAGGCCGAAACGACGGGTCAAGGAAGAAGCTATCCAATCAGTTGAATCTGCAGTGGTTGAACCCTTAACATTATCATTCTTAATACTGGTATTATTATTAGTTTCTAATACTTTGGGTGTAATTGGCTTCTCTAAGGAACTTGAGCTTAGTTGAGGTGTTTGAGAAGGCGGAGTAGTTGGTGGTTGAGGTGGTGGTGTTTTTGAACATGGTGATAGTTGGTGTGTTCGTGAGAGTGGGGTGGAAAGAAATGGCGGTGATGTAAAGGAAGAAGAAGCCATTTTATCTTGATAAATTATTGATGATGTTTAAGATTTTCTTTCTTTATTTATTTGTTTATGTTTTATTGTATTCAAGTCTTCAAGATGATTTTTGATGAGATGATAAGTAGGGTGTCCAAATGACCACACATATGGGTCACTTTCTTGTGAGCCCACCTTATCAATTAGAGAAGGAGAAACATAATGACTATCAACCAATGCAAATATGTAATAGGGTCTATTTGTCTTCATCGAAAAAATAGGATAGCATCACATAGTTGTAATACCTTGTATTTTTATATATTTTTTATTTAAAAATAAATATTTTGGAAAGTATTTAAATAATTTAAAATATTTTATTTATGACATTTCAATTACTTCCTCCGTTTTTTTTTTTTATTATTGCACCATAGGGGTTGGATGCAAATATTTTGATAGTGGAAAAAAGTAAGAGAGAAAGGTAAAAATACAAAATTGCCCATGTGACATATTGATAAACTAAAAAGTAAGTGTGAAAAAGCAAGGATATGTTGGGTAATTGTAGTGTGAACACAAATAATTTTTTTCCTAAAGAGGAAATGATGCAATATTTGTGAAACTTCCTTAAAAGGCAAGTGGTGCAATAATAAAAGAACGGAGGAAGTATTTATTTTAAATAAGTTTGGAAATATTTTGTAAAAGGAAAGTTTATTTAATTAATTATTTTACTAAAGTTGAGTTTAATTTAGAAAAATTTTATTTTAGTAAAATTTTATTAGGAAAGGGGTTAGAAAGATTAAAAGGGGAAGTTTAGGTAAGAAGGGATTCCAGAGAAAGGGGTATAAATATTAATCACTTGGGCAAATTAAACTTTTCCCTATAGAGAAAACCCAAGGTAAACTTTCTCTCTCTTCTCCTTTATTTTTCTCCTTTTTCTTTCTTTTTTCCCCCTTCCCCTTGTTTTCGGTTTACCACCGACGGCCACCACCACCACCGCCGGGCCGTCGGCCACCAGCAACACCAGTTGGCAGCAACGGCTACCACCAGCGGCTGGCAGCAGCCGGTGGTGGTGGCCAACCTGCTATTCGGCCTCCTTCCATACAAAAAAAAATTGATCTTTCTTTTAATTTTTGTTTAAACCTTAGATCTAATTGTTAAATATGGGTTTTGTGATTAATATTATGATGTTTGATTATAAGTAGTACGTAATTTAATTTTCAGATTTTAATTCTAATTAAAAAGCCCTAAATTCATAAATTATTAATTAATGAAGGATTATGATTTAGGATGGTTTGAGTCTTTGATTTAAGTTTTTTAAAGCTTAATCACAACAAGTTCTCATTAATATATAATGTTGGAATTGTTGGTAGTATATTAAAAATCAAGTTTCGTTAAGGAATTTTAATTACCCATTAATTGGGATTAAAGTATAAGATTCTAAATAAAATTTCACCTTATTTTAATTAAATTATGAGTGGTTTAATAAGAGTCTATATTGCTGAAAATTTGTATGGAGAGGATTTTAATGCTCTGTTATTATTTTAAGGAAAATTTGCAAATTACCACCCAAAAATAGTATCAATTTCTAAATAACCACCCAATTAAAATTTTATTTTAAATTACCACCCACTAAAATAATTTTTTATGCAAATTACCACCTTTTTCAATTTTCCGTTTGATTTCAGGTGAGTGGGGCCCACATTCGTTATTTCCCTCCTAAATTTTTTTATTTTCTTTCGAGTTCACATTGTAAGCTATTCCTCTCTCAATTTTCTCATTTAATTCTCTCTACAAATTCACCTAACTCCATAAATTCTGACCCGGTCTTCAAATTTAGATCCTAAATTGTAGATTAAAACCCTAAATTAGTTTAAGTTGAGAGAAAAATTTGCTCCTGTGTAATTGGGGTTTAACTTGAAGGTTGTTTGCGAAAATCACCATTGTTGGGCGTCTGCTGGGGACCACGTGCTGAGTTCATTGACCTGACAATTGCTTGCTGTCAATGGCGACGTCAGAGGTTAGCAATTTAGTTCCTTGTCTTTAATTTTATAAGTTGTTGGTTGGTGATGGTAGAATTGCAATTTTGTTGAAAGTTAGGGTTTAATTTGTACTTAGTTGAATTATTTAATACATTTCAGTTATTGTTTAATTGTTGGTTAATTTTTTAAGTATAGATGTTGGTAGGACAGTGATGTAGGGTATATGTTTAATGCTGCTATGTATGTATGTTTGGTTTAAAAAAGTCTTCATTTTTTCCTAAATCTCCTTATTTTGCTATTACATGCACAGATTGCTGGTCCTGTTCAATTAGTTGATTTTAAGGTTAGGTTAGGGGGTGTGTTTGTGAACAAAAAAATAAGGGGGAAGACTTTCTGTGGCTATGAGGGTGGCTGGGAATATTGGAGGTATAAGTGTAAATTGAGTGAAATGTCAGTGGACTTGCTGAGGGAATCTTGTATTTGGGGTTTGTGAAGCTAGACTTACATGTGCCAGACTCATGGAATATTTGGTACAAACAAAAGGGAAAGACTTGGTCAAATGGTAAAAAAGAAATTTTGAGTGAAGATGATGTAAAGGGCTTTTTGGAGACAAAGACAAAGAATGGGTTTGTTGTAGTGTATTGTACTAGCCAAGTACCCAGTATTGTACAACCCACCCAAAACAGAAAAACCAAAGCTGATAAGCCCACTAAACTTAGGAGAAGCCCTAGGTTTAAGCTGAATGTGGAAAATATAGATAAGGTTGTAGATCAGACTGAAGAGGGAGGTCCATATGAGACCGTGACAGGGAAGAAATCATCAAGGAAGAGATTGTTCTCTGAGAGTGTTAAAGGGAAGAAGAAGCAAGGGGAACAGGAAGGTAGTTCTGGGAGAAATACAGTGAAGGGAAAGGGAAAGTGTACAACCAAGGGTAGGAGGAAGAAGAAGACAGGGAGGGAGGTTGAGTTGGAAACAAAAGCTGAATCTGGCTCCTCCAGCTCTGATTGTTATGACACTGACCCTGATTGGGATATAGGGGAAGAGAAGGGGTTAGATGAGGATGCTGAACTTGAAGAAAATGTGAACAACACTATTCAGAACATAATTCAAGAGGTCAACCTAAGTTTGGAGTGTGTGAAAGATAAGAGAGAGGATGAGTTGCAGAACAAGGAGTTGATCATTGAAAGTGAATTGTTGAGCAAAGAAGTTTTTTTGCAGAGAGAGTTTAGTTCTAATTCAGAGGAGTTGGATAGCCCTAAGTGTTCTGATGATGAAGAAGACAAGTACCCATGGTTTCATGCCTCAACAGACTTCAAGAAACCAATAGTCTTGGTGAAAGGACAGAAGTTTATCAACAGTAAACTGCTTAGGAGAGCATTGAGGGTTCATGCAGTTGAGAATAGATATGAATATTGGTACTTGCACAATGACATCAGCAAGTTAACCATCCAGTGCAGGAGGAGATGTCAGTGTAAATGGAATGTAAAAAATACTTGTGTTGGGAGGGAGGAGATGCCATTTTAAGGTGGTTGCTAGGAGATCTGTCAACCAAGATTTTTGGCAGATTAAGAATGTGAATCTTAAGCATAGGTGTGTAAGGGTAAAAAGCAATCTCAATCTTACTGCTGAATTTCTAGTTGAGAAGTACATTGAGGATTGGAGAAGAGATCCAGGGTGGAAGCTAAAGGGATTCATTAGGAGGGTGTTAACTGATCTTGGCATAGAAATTACTTATAGCAAAGCTTGGATGTCAAGGGCAAGAGAAAAGCTAATGATCTATGGTTCAGCATCACAACAGTATGCCAGAGTTTGGGACTATGGAAAGGCTCTCATGAAGTATAACCCTGGGACACAATGTAATGTTGTTATTGATGGGATTGAGCAACCTGAGCCCCCATTATTCCTTAGGATGTTTGTTTGCCTAGCTCCTATGGCAAAGGGATTTTTGTCTAGTTGTAGACCCTTAATAGGGGTTGATGGATGTCATCTCAAGGGTCCATACCCAGGGCAGATACTTGTTGCAGTAGGGAAGGATGGCAACAACAATATTTATCCCATTGCATGGGCTACCTGTGAAATAGAGAACACAGAGACATGGGTGTGGTTCCTAGAGAGCCTAATGAAGTCCTTAAAAGATGAAAATGAAGGGCTTGGGTTCACCTTTATGTCAGACAGACAAAAGGTGATGAATTACTTACTACTAATATATTATTTTTCAACCTAACATACATTCTTTTTTATGTAATGCATTACTTTTGATATTAAAACAGGGGTTGTTAGAAGCTTTCCAGCAGGTAGTCCCTAATGCAGACACAAGGTATTGTGTCAGACACATTTGGGCCAACTTCAAGTTGCAGTTTAGTGGAGCAACAATCAAAGAGCTATTTTGGGCAGCAGCCAGGGCTACAACACAGGTATACATTCACCTCAAATTGGCTATCTGTGACTGTCTGTGACTGTGAGTGTGTGAGTGAATCAGTGACTGTCTGTGAGTGTGAGTCAATGACTGAATGAGTAACTGTCACTGTCTTGTGAGTGTGAGTGAATCTTTGTGACTGTGACTGAATCTCTGTGACTGTGTGTGGCTGTTTGTTTAGCTGAATCTGTTTATGTAGGTGTGTGTGTAAGTGTGGTTGTAAATGTGTTCTTTTCCTTTTTGTAGTTTGATTTTGAAGTGGCAATGGAGTCAATAAGGTTCTTGTCTGAGGATGCATTTGAATACCTAGCTGACATCCCAGCTGAGCATTGGTCTAGACATGCTTTTAGTTCATTCCCAAAGTCAAACATGTTGCTTAACAATGTTTGTGAAACTTTCAATGTTGTGATCAAAGAAGCTAGGGATAAGCCCATATTGACTCAGATGGAGTGGCTTAGGAGGTATATGATGAAAAGAAACAATGATAAATGGGAAAGTTATGGAAAAATGGAGGGAAAAGTAGTTCCATATGTAAGAAAGGCATTCCAAAGGATAGAACCAGCAGCTAGGCATTGCATTGTGCAAGTATCTAGAGGTGACACTTATGAAGTGGAGCTTAATTCTGACATAGTTAAAGTGGACCTAAGCAAAGGTACTTGCACTTGCTATCATTGGGAGCTAACTGGTATCCCTTGTGTCTATGCATATGCATGCATCATGGACAAAAGGGCAGACCCTGAAGAGTATGTGGACAGT